CCCGGGGTCTGTGTTAAGATTGTGATGTCCATGTGGGATGCACATGCAGGACAGAGTGACCCCCCCCCAGAGATGGCCATGAAGACCACGAGGGACTCTGGCAGGGAAAGGAAAGGCTTGAGACACCTGTGCCTGAGAGAGGCCGTCAAGATGGAGGCAGAAGGCAGCAGGTCAACTTGCCTTGCCAGTGAACCTGAAGTAGTGGCCACACCCTTTACCCTTTGGGCGTGGTTTAGGGTGCAGACCTCATTCACTATAAGGTAGAGGAGGGACTGGCTTGCGCTCTCAGAGGGCATCAGAAGGGCAGAGACTGCATCTTCTGGAGCAGGAAGGCCGCAGTGGTTGTTTACTCTTGTCTGTGTAAGCTCTTCCCCCATTAAAACATTTATTTACCATTTATCTTGGGTCTGGTGAACTCATTTAAACCCTGCCTTCAGTCAACTCTAGGCCTATCAGGGCCAACTACATTCGTACAGGGAGACCCTCCCCTCTACTGAGGCCGCAATGCCCTGTAAACGTGCTGCTCTTGGGGAGGAGGGGGCAAGAGCAGGGTACTAGCAGGGACTGTGTGGTGGACCTCATGCGATTGGAGAAGGTACCAGTCCAAGTCCCCAACCCGTGTCACCCTTGCAACTCTATCACCCCACATGGGGTCAGGTCTCGATTGCAATCACAACGTGTTCCGACGAGCCCTGAAGTGGGGGGCCCAGGAGAAACAGCAGCAGGCACTGACCATGAAGCCCATTACCAGGACATTTAAGCACAGGTAGTGACAGTGACTTTGGGTGTTTGCACAGCCCTGCATCTCCAGTTTGCCATCACGGGAGCTTGAGCACTCATGTCGGGACTTAGCTGCCCCAGTGTCACCTCTGGTGATGGCACAGTTTGAGTCTTTGTGCGTCTATTTATAGGCAGCGCTTAGCTCCATTGGACTCTGTCTTTCAGATCAATTCCATTCAGGAGATGGGCATTGAAGTCCCGGGCACTGGGAGGGCGAGCTCAGAGCAACTCCTTCCACTGTGAGATCTCTGGATCCTCCTTTTTTAAGCTTTTTGAAATCTGTTTTATTTATTTATTTATTTATTTGTGTGTGTGTGTGTGTGTGTGTGTGTGTTTTGGCTGCATATATGTCTATGTCTGTGCACCATGTGCATGCCAGGTGCCTGTGGAGGCCAGAGAAGGAGTTGGGTCCCCTGGAACTGGAGTCAGTGGCAGTTGTGAGTGGCGGTGTGGGTGCTGGTAATTGAACCTGGGTCCTCTAGAGGAGCGGTTATTCATCTTAACCACGGGATCATCTCTCCAGCCCCAGTCTCTTCTCCCTAAATAGGGCTTCTGATAGAGTAAGTAGGAGAATACCCACTTCACAGATACAATCAGATGACAGTTTTAAATGCTATTTAAAATGTAGCCCACAGAAGGTTGCAAGGAGGCAACCAGTTACGGTCCGTGCACCGTGCTAAATTTTGGACCCCACTGGCCTCCCTTGTCGCCTCTCAGTTCTTGCTGCCTCCTTTTCGCCCCTCTGTCTAACCTGCTCTCTTTGTGATTTACTCTCTCTTCTCTACTATAAATTTCCCGTGGTTTTTACTTTCTCTACCCCTCGACGTCACTCCTTCCATCCTGCTTTTATTTTTCCTCTCCTCGCTCCGAAATTGAGACATAAAACATTTTAAAGCCTTGTTATTTATTAAACACAGCCGCCTTTCACGGGGCACAGTGATCGGTTGATGCTTTTACTCCTCACGGCTGAGTCCTTTGAGGTGGCTGGTTGGTGGCGTGGGGTGGGGAGGCGGAGGGAGGAAGGTGTGGGTTGCTGAGAAACTCCACAGCATCTAGAAGACAGTGGCACAAGAAGCTTCACCCCTGAGTTCTCGTGAAACGCAGAGACGATCTGGTAACCAGATGGCCTCTGCTTGGCAGTTTGTCAAGGGAAGTGTTTACCGGCTCTGAGAAACCATTTCAGAGCACCGTGTCCTGGGTATTCACGATTCTGTTTATGTCCCTTTTCTCCAGTGGCCACGGAGGCCATGTTCCCACTCGTTTTATGGAGTGGTAACGGTTCACTCTCTGCACAGTTTGCTGATTTGAAGTCCCTTACATAATGACGCTCCCGCTTCCTTACCCATGCTTTATGCAGGGTAAATATGCATTTGTATATTTCATCATTCATGAATTTGAATTTAATATCATGTTTGTTTGTTAACTCACGACTCTTATTTCATGGAATCTAGAAGAGTTTCGGTGTACTCCATACAGTTGTACATCTTCCTAAGAATCAGCGAACTGCTGTGTTTGGCCATGACTGTGAGGTCTTTTCTTAAGCCTTAAATGTCTTTGTACTTTGGACATAGCTATGACTGCCCCCTTTAGAACAGCTGTCCCCTTTTCTCCTCTCAAGAACCCAGAATTAAATTTTGTTCGTGTTTTCCTGAGTCAGAGGATCCAAAGTCACTAAGAAAATGGAAGACAAATCCGAAACTCGACACCAACCCCACGACAGCCAGGAGGGGATCCTGCACCCAACAAGACCCAAAACAGGACAGAGGGATACTTTACGATCCAGTTAGGAGAGTTAAAACATAATATTAATTGCACCAGAGAATAAGTTTCGAACAGAGGCTTCGCAACGAAGCTTTAGCCGCACAACCCAGCTCTAACACTCCTTGACTCAACTTGCTTGCATGCCGGAGACTGAGTCCCATTTGTAGACAGGGTTAGGTTCTCAGCAGCTACGACTCTATCACCCGGGGAACTGTGAAGCTGGGCTTAGTGGCTCATGCCTGTAACCCAAGCACTCACTAGGGTGAGAAAAGGTCACAGAATAAAAAAAAAGGGTGGGGGGTTGGAAAACAGGACGGAAGAGGAGGAAGATGATGATGATGTACGGGTCATTTATATTGCTCCTTAGGTTTTAGAGAGTAGCTCCTTAATTTTTGAGCTGTGGATAGTGAAGGAGTGGCCACTGCCCGTGGTCCCTCTCCTTGTTTGTATCACATGGTGGGAGTTGTGTGATTCTGTTTCATGCCGGATCTGACAAGAACACACTTTGAGAGGCTGTTGCTTATGAAGACCCAGTTTGTGGGGCCTCAAACCAAGCAGGAAATGTTTTCGACACGTGCAAGACCACAGGTAGGACAGGATGGGGCAGGGAGCTGGGCAGTGGATGATACAGGAATGAGGAGTGAGAGAGCCCAAGGAGGCTTGTGCCTGATCCTTCTGATCATGTAACCCTTTGTTACATGATGACATGGCTGAGATCAGGATTTATTTGCACTCACGCAGAGGTTTGGGGTCATGAGTTAAAGGAAAACAATAATAAAGAAATTGATATCTTTGCAAAGTTTCTAGGCCTGGATACGCCTCTCCTCCAATACAGCAAACCAAAATCAGACCAAATCAAGCTGAATCAAATTAGGAAAAGCCCGTGTTTAATGGACACAGTGCTCCCGGATAGCCTTCCAGCCCCCCAGAGAAGACATGGGAAAGAGAGACCAGAAAAGCCACGAGTCTGGTTTCTGGGGGACAGTTTAAATACTGCCCTGTGGGAGTGGTCTTGAGCATCTCTGGGGGAGGGGTCATCATTTGGCAGACTTTCTGAGGTGCAGCAGGGTTTGGAGAGAGATAGGGGATGGGGGCTTGGGTGGAATTTCCACCATAACATCCCAGACTCTTTGGGTATGTGGATGCCAGTGACTGGGGTGAAGCTTCCACCTTAACAATCTTATTCAGGGAGTGAGAGGTATTGGGTATTAAGATTTTTGCCTCCGCTGTAGGGATTGAGTGAAGTCCTGAATGAATATATGTTGTTGACATGGGTACTGCCTCAGCCCTATGGACACAGCAGCACTTTTCCTGGGTAAGGCTTGGAGAGACAACCAAGTCTTCCTCTGGCTTAGTGCGACTACTGATGGTGCGGGAACTGTCCACCATGGCTTTTCCCCCCTCAGTGATCACGCCCTAAAGACTGCTCCTCTGCAGGGACAAGCCGAGCCCATCTCCTTGTTCAGCTACATGCAACAATCCCGCCCTCCTGTTAATCACGTATAATGAACACACTGGGTTTTCCGGGGTGCGGCGGTTCCTCCATCCGAGTGAGGATAGCCCACCCCGCCTCAGCCTTTCTGTGTCCATATGTCTGTCCTTTACTTACTCCCTCATTGCCTCCAATGAGGGTGCCAGGACCCAGAGCGTGTAAGGAATGAGGCACTTTGCCACAGAGGAATACTCAACTTTGGTAGCCACACAAGCAGAGCGCGAAACACGGAAGTTCACAGCTCTGATGGGATAACACAGAAGCATTTGCAGACCTCCTGGAACCGTATCCACAAGACAACAGTCAGCTCATCCTCCACCTCTGCGGTCTTAATGTTTAAATGTCGACAGAGAAATTGCACTCGCCATTTGCAGAGTGACTTACTACAATTATTTTCCCTTCCTTCTTAGAGATGCTTTGTGGGCTTCCTTCATTCAGCTTAAGAGCTCCGGGCACCACGAGACAGATCTATTCAAAGTGGAGATGAGCACGAGCTGCTTAGGCTCCAGGCACTCTTCTTTAGTCTGTGAGGAAACTCTGAATGACACCCGATAGGTCCAACCACGGCTCGCCATTCCTTCCTCTCTTTTACACTGTCCAGCGCACCGGATAGACATGCACGCAAAACTTCATCCAACCTGGGCTAAATCTCTCACAAGCCAGGCTGAGATTATTGTGAATTCTCAACCCCCAAAAGCAGTAATGGGAAATAAATCCATTCCTATTCTTTAGCTCCATTCATGGGCAACATTTCCAGTCTGGACCCTTGATCCCAACCAAGGTGAATTTTGAGTACCGCGTAAAGCAACACCGACACAGTGCAAAATGTACTGTAGGTCAGATGGGCCTCGGCTCTCCCAGGAGCTAAAGATCAGCGCAAGGCAGACAGACGGGATGTGCTCTTTGCGCGATTTTTGCGCTTCTCCATTCAAAACCAAAAGTGAATAATAAATGTCACGTTACTCACTCATGGATTCAGTTAACTTGGCCATCGTCATGTCTTCTCTGTGCTTTTCCTGGAGGGGAGAAGAAAAGACAATTATAAATAAAGTGTGTCTTATATGCTCCTTGCAGCCACCCCTCTGTTCTTCTTTTCCCTAGGTCAGATGTATGACAGCTCTATTACTGGAGAGTCACTGAAAAGAGGCTTTTTAGGGCATTAAGACCTTCCCATTGCTTTTGGCAGTGAGAGTCAGTCACACTGATCTTGGATATATATATTTGGTGACGCACAACCAGTTTTCAAAACCTCTTTGACACTGGAGTTTTGACATCCATATGCCAAATTTTTGCTCTCTATTTTCCCTCATAGAATCCTCTCTCTTTTTTTTTGTATTTTTAGAGTTGGTATTTTTGTAGCCATTTAGTTTTCAAAAAGCTAGACAGATTTTATGCATCTTCTTTTGCCTTCTTGGGTTCCTTAGGGAGCTTTGGAAAACTGTTGGGTTTGTTTGTGATTTTTCTAACCGTATCTATTTTGAACTGGAAACCTTTTATTTCAACCATATATAGGTTATAACCCACTGAGCCCAAGATTCGAGCTGATTCACCCAGAGACTGAATTTGTCCTGATTAAACACTTTGAAGCTGTTGGAAAACGGCCCCCTTTCTGAGAAGTTCTCTCCTATTTCTTCAAACAACCTTGGGTTTCCTTTACTCCCTCAGTTGCTACCTCAAGCAGCAAGTAAAGCATGAGTGACATTGATTTTAGTCCTCTGTGGAACTGCTTGCCTGTTTGTGAGACTCAGACATTCTCTCCATAAAATATGGACGATTGCCTGGAAAAAAAAACCAGCTCTCTCGTAACTCCATGCCCCCGCAAGGTCACAGGAATGTGAGCGAGCAGCTTTCAACATGTGTGTGTATGGGCATGTATGTGTGTGTATGGACATGTATATGTGGGTTGTCAAGTGTTGAGGATGGTGTGTATATGTGGATGGGTAGGCCTGTGTTTGTATGGGCATGTGTGTGTTTGTATTGTATAAATGGGCATGTGTGCGTATGAGCGTGCGCACGCACACACGCGCGTGTTTGTGGCGCTGTGTGTGTGGGTATGTGTGTATGGACATGTATGTGTGTATGGACATGTATATGTGTTTATGGGTGTGTGCGCCTGTGCGTGTACACGCACGCGTGCGTGCATGTTGTGCACGTGTGTGTGCGAGTGTGCGTGCATGTATGTGTGTGTGTGTGCGCACCCTGGTGAGCATGTGGAAGACCACCTCTGGTATGAGTCCTTAGCTTCTCACTGGAGGCAAAGTCTCTGTTGCTCAGTGCTGCACACCCTTAGCTAGCTGGCCTAGAAGCCTCTGGGGTTCTTCTGTCTCCACCTCCTGTCTCTCCCTCGGAATGCTGGGATTACTTAGTCTGATTCATTTGGGTTCTGGGGGCCCAAACTCAGGTCCTCAGGTTTGCGTAGCAAGGGTTTTACCCTCATCCTCCAGCCCTGGTTCTCTAACTGTGACTGCTTACCAACATGGAAAAGCAATCCGATAAATATTGGTACAACACATCTGATGCTTTGAGCCATTGAGTCTTGAACACCAAACACACATTTTCTCATGTTAGTAAAAGCAGACAACATTATCCTTTAGTGATTTTGTGGCTTTCATCTTGGGGGGGGCAGAACTTTCTTAAAAAAACAGAAAATCTCCTTTGTTTTTTTGTTTTTTTTAGAGACAGGGTTTCTCTGTATTGTTTTTTGAGGCTGTCCTGGAACTTGCTCTGTAGACCAGGCTGGCCTTGAACTCACAGAGATCCGCCTGCCTCTGCCTCCTGAGTGCTGGGATTAAAGGCATGCACCACCAACGCCCGGCTTAGAAAATCTCCTTTTAACCTATTTGCAGGAAGGTATTCCTTCCCCCATTTCATTTATTCACTTCTTATTTTTTTCTTTCTTTCTTTCTTTTTCTTTTCTTTTCTTTTTTTTTTTTTTTGCTATTTAATAAAATGTCACAACAAGCTCTTGCATCTTGCTTTATTATCCCGCGCGAAGCCTGTATTTACTAGTAGGACCGCCCCTTCCCTCCACGCTTGCCAGCTTGCCCATGACGACAGGTGTAACTTGGTGCCTTGTTGCTTCATGCATTATTTTCTTGGCCACTGTTCGCCTATAAACAACCAGAGTCTCTGTCACGTGCCCACTGTTGTGCCACCGACTCTTGGCTTCTGCCAGTGTTCCATCCCCGCTGACATCAACATTTGCGTTCACTTGGAAACCAGGGTAGCATCTCTGCTTCCCCACGTAGCCTCGCAGGATGCTGAGCGCCCCGAGGCTGCTTGGCTGGCGCCTGGCCTGAGATGTAGCCTGCTGGCTCAGGGGTTGCGGCGCATGCGCACAGTCCGCAGAGCCATTGCTCACCCTTCCTGCGGCACGCCCATCCCGCACTGAAAGGTGTGCTTTGACGGAGTGGCAAGGGGATTGTCGAGTCACACAAGCCTGCATGTGTAACAGTGGAAACAAGGCTCTGCCTTTCGTTTAAGGTGAGAAATGGCATTGTGCAAGCCAGCGAGAGGCTGAGTGTCCTGCAGCACTGAGGAGACAATGGCCCAGAAGAACCGACTGTGAAGGACACACTTGTTCTCATGGTTATGCAAAGTGATAGCTTCATGGACCAGTGGGCCTCAGCAGGCTGGGACGATTCAGGCAGGGACCCTGGGACAGCGTCCTCTGCCCATGAGGCTCGGTGGCGTCTCTTCCAAGCCCAGCTCTACCGCTTTGAGTCTGAACTGCCCTGCTTAATGTGTCCACGCCCGTAACTTACTCCTCCTTCATTTGCTGGCTCCAAGCTCCTCCAGACCTCATTTGAATCACGGTTCCCTCCTTCCTTGTCCAGTGGTGAGACCCCCCACTCCCCCCCCCCGCCCAACATAACACACGGCGCTGGCTAGTTTTATGCCAACTTGACGCAGCTAGAGTCAACTGGGTTGAAGGGACCTCAACTGAGAAAATGACCCCACGGGACTGGCCTGTGGGCAAGCCTGTGGGGCATTTCTTTATTTGGTAATTGGTATGGGAAGGTCCAGCTCACCGTGGGCAGTGCCACCCCTGGGCTGGTGGTCGTAAATGCCACAGGAAAGAGGACTGAACGATCTGCCATCCAGTGAGCAGTACTTTCCCACGGCCTCTGCATCAGCTCCTGCCCCCAGTTACTGCTACGACTCTCCTGGGCAGATGGACATGCGTGTGTGTGACAAGCTGTGATTTTATTCTGGTCCCTCCCCCCCCCCCCCCCCCCACAGATATAGAAACCCTAACTAAGACACAGAATCATCAAGATTCCGGGCATTCTGTCCCTAAAAGTTCCCCTCAAGCAAACCTGCCTTCTTGTGTGTGGCCGTGTTCCCTTCTCGCTGCAAAACTGCCTGCAATGTTTTGGCCTGTTTGTCGTCCTGACGGGTGATCCCTGGAGCCAATTTTTACTCCCATGTGGTGGGCACCTTAGTCTTTGAGATACCAGATCCCAACGGCATCATCATTTCGCTCTTTCCTGTAGTTAAAGGGAAGCTCTGACATCCTGCAAGGAAGGGTCTGTAGAAACCCTAAATTTAGCTCTGAGACTGACTCATCTATAGCATAGCGTACAGTGGAAATCACGACATATGTTTTGGGGTAAGTAGCTTAGTCACTCCACTGGATGTCTTTAAACTCCTTCTGGCCTCCCCCTCATTATCAGAAAGTTGATGTTTGCAATTACATGGCATGTGGACCCAATAAAGTATGCACATTACACTCCCGGTCCCAAGTACTAGCTCTGTGTTCCAAGCCAAGGCTTCCCCTCCATAGTAAATGACTTCCTGGTTGTTGGATTTGCATTACTGGGAAGAGATTCTGAAATATCGCCCAATGAAATTGGAAGATGTTTTACTAGCAGCGATCAACTCCAGCCCCACAGAGACGGCAGCTGATAAAGCTGAATCCCAGGGGAGAGTGTGCTTTGCCAGGGGCGGGATTTTCAGTGACCAGCCACTTCCTCTTTCTCCCCTCCCCAGCAACTTCCTTATCTATGTCTGGCCTTCCCAGCCACTGTCTGCCCGGTGCTGTCTTCCCTTCCTCCATCTTCAACACTGAAGGTTGGTTTTAAATTGTCCCCGGGGAGCCCTCACAAGCGTGTTCTAGCCACCCTGTTAGAATATAAACTTTCTTCCCCCAGGCTCTCGATTTTGAGCACCTGTTGCTCAGGCGGTCTCTCTGCTGGCTCTGAGCTTAGCTGGTGAACGTCAGGCTGGTGAATGTCAGCGGTTACAGCCAGTCCTATGGTGGTCTACCTCTCTGCTTCCTGCCTGCTGTTGTGATGTAACAAGCCGTCCTGGGAGCTCCCCTAAGGACCAGTGGCAGACCCTCTCCATCCAAGGCACCTTCCTGCTATGGTGGACGGTCGTCTTGATACCATGAGCCAAAATAAATCCTTTCCCCTTAGGCTGTTTATTATTTGGTTATAGTAACAAGAAGGGCATAGGTACCGTGCTTGAAATGCTTAGTTCTAGCTGAAGATGCTGTAGGCATTGTCTCAGTCAGGGCTGGCCACCCCTGGCTGCTCCATACTTGTAACCCTGCATCCCAGGACTGTTTGTGCCTTCCAGACTGGTTAGTACCATCCCTTCTGTCTGGACAGCCCTGGTTCTGTCTGTCCTTCTTCCTTTGCCTTCTGAGTTAGTCTCGAAGAGCTCCGCTGGCTGCTATCCCATCTCTGTAATCTCTCTACTCTTTCTGACCATCTTTCTTGGGTGTGGTCTGTAAATGCTATGCTCACGCACAGATACATTCATGTATCACATTCCCGCGCAGAAGGGGAGAAGCTCATGGGCCCCCACACTGTGCCAAGGAGCTTGCGGGCAGCTGATAGCTTCTGGGGGAGGCAGCGTCATTTTGTTTTAAAGACATGGCTCCTGGTAGGTCAACTATACTTGGGAGGACAGTCCCATGACCAGGAACGTAGGGGCAGCACAGACTGGAGTCTTTGAAGGGTGGGGAGGTGGGGGTGGATCTGGGAGGTGCTAAAGGGAGGGGCTGGGGTGAATGTGATTAAAATATGTTAGTGAGATTCTCAAATAATATGAAAGTATTTTTTTTACAAATCAAAGATGAGCTAAATACAATGTATAATGAGCACAATAGCTGTGGCTTGCTGAGCACAGATCTTGCCCAGTCCCCACTGTAGCCCTATAAAGGGTTTCGTAGACAAGACTGTGCCTTGCTCCTAAGTGATGACTGATGGCCTAGTTTTGTTTGTTTGTTTGTTTGTTTGTTTTTGTTGTTGTTTTTTCGAGACAGGGTTTCTCTGTATTGTTTTGGAGGCTGTCCTGACACTCGCTCTGTAGACCAGGCTGGCCTCGAACTCACAGAGATCTGCCTGCCTCTGCCTCCTGAGTGCTGGGATTAAAGACGTGTGCCACTGACGCCCGGCTGGCTGGTGGCCTTTTGAGTTGAGCAAACAAGTAACACCTCTGTGTGCGTGGGACTCTCCTGTGCTAGTTCCTCTTTCCATGCGGAGCCAAGGGTTTTGCACTGGAGGTCACCGTCCATCTCAGCGGTTCCCAGTGGAAAAGGAAACCAGGGGCTCGGGAATCTTCCTTGTTCCCAAGAATAGCTTACATTGGTTTGAAGACTGGCGTTCTTGTTTCCCGGTGTGTTCAGCTTGGGGTACGGAGACAGTGGGAGAGCGAGGGAGCATATTCGAATGGGGGGAGTTTGAAAGCCTGGAGAAAGAGGGGCTGCTGTCTTGGCTTGACCACTTCTTAGCCACCTACTTCTTCACTGTGGACACTTCAAGGTCTCCTGTGTGGGTGGGGACATGCGATGTGGCCCGTGAATACCCTCACCCGTGGGCCAGTTATGAGGCACACGGTGGGCATAAACTCATGGAGGAGTAAGGCCCTCCCCCCTGTGTTCCTTAATCCCAGCACCCCTCAGCTACTGTGTAGGGTCTGGCAGTTACGGCTGCTTTCACAGTCTGAGAACAAATACTGGCATTTCTGAAAAAGAATCTTTCCTCGGAGCTAACAAGCTCCAAGACTGCCAGTGCCTCAAGGTAGACTCACCAGGGGTGTGGCCATGTCACCCACTGCTACCCCACCAAAATAAAACACCAGGACCTGGGGCCTTGTGTACCGCTAACTCTGAGGGCATCCTCTACAGTCCTGCGGAGCAACAGAGACATTAGAACTAAATGGGAACATGATGATGTGTTTGAAGCAAACATGTCACAGATGCTGAAGGAAATCTCACTGTATTGTTAGAACTGCATCAGACTCCCCCACAGAGCTCTGACTCTCTGGGGGGTAATAATGAGTATTTAATGTTTTGTCTGATGGTATTCTCTCTGACACACCTGGAAGTCAACAAAGGCTCAGTGGTTACCGTGTGATTGTGCGTGTGTGCGCGTGTGTGTGTGTGTGTGTGTGTGTGTGTGTGTGTGTGTATGGGAGAGAATGAGCGAGCATAGGTGTATGTGCGTATGTGAGTGAGAGAGGTGTGTTTGTGTGCATTTTTATGTTATGTGTATGTCTGTGTATATGCAAACGCATGTGCACATGTGTGTGCGTGCACATGAGTGTGAAGTGTGCATGCATATGTGTTTGTGTGCATCTGTGTGTATGTAGGGGTATGTGAGTATGTGGAGAGAAAGGTGGAGGAGGGAGGTGAGGTTCCTAAAATAGAGCTTTCAGAGCATGGAGGAGGCTTTCCTGCTGCTTGGAGTCCCCTCAGCCCCAGGGCAGGGGCAAGATGGAGTCAGATCCCAGCACATGCCGTACTCACCCCACCTGCCATCACCCTGAAGCAGGCTTTGAAGGATGAAGGAGAGGCTCATTCAGCCTGATATATTTCAAACCAATCATATTTGCATCTTGGATATTTTTATCTCTCTAAACTGTGCTCACACTCACCAGAAAACTGCGATCTCCTTTTCAAATTACAAGCCCTCAAAGCAACATTCCTGCAAGGTGTGAGATAATAAATTCTTGTCTCCACATGGACCTCTCCCCCCAGGTTAATATAGGGCCACAAGTCTCTGGTCTTCACAGTCTCTACCTGAGATGTTGCCTGGCTCCTCATCTGACCTGAGGCCATGGGAGTTGACGGAAGACACTTGGGATGAAGGACATCCTCAGGTAGGCAGTCCTGTAGGTGTTCCTTGCTTGTGACATCATTCACATAGCGTTGAGTAACTCTTAAGGATGGAGGCACAAGCATTTAAGAACACCAGCTAGCTCTTTGCCTCATGCAAAACTAATGGCAGTGTGTGGCCAGCACGCTAGGATGACTTGAAGACAATACGCGCTTGAATATAACACTATAGACAGAAGTTTCAGTACAGCTAAATTTCCTAAGCATTTTCAGAATTGACATAATCCTTCCCGGGTGGCTCAGAAGACTCAAAACCCCAGACTCAAGCTGAGGTTGGCTCATCAAAACTGTCATACTCAGCACTGTGGGGAAGGAAGAGAGGCGGGCAAGAGGCAAGGCCAGAAGCTGGGCAAGCTCCTTGGTGTCTTTGATGAGCCCAGGGAAGTGACTGGTGGCACGGGGACACTTCTTTCCTGAATGCCAAGTGATATGGGGGGTTTAAAAAATGAAGCATTTACGACCAGAAAGCTGGCTTCCGCTGCTGTTAGACTCAGCTAAAGGTCTACTGACTTGTGATGGGAGCAAGCTCTGATGCTCTGTCGAGCCGCTGGGTGTTCGACAATGATAATCTTCTCCGCATTTCGAAAGCAAGCAGGAAGCATTCCAAAAGTTTAATGTAAAGACGTGATCGCTGTTTGGGGAGAAAGATGTGTTTTCTCTGGCTTAAGCATCACACAGGGTACACACATATCAAACACCACATGGCACCGCGTGCATCTATACAGTTACGGGATTTTATATACCAGTTAAAGTCAGTTTAACTTTACAAAATCTCGTAAGGTAACCTCAGAATTTCATGATTTGGGGTCAAAGTGTGTGTGTGTGTGTGTGTGTGTGTGTGTGTGTGTGTGCTATTCTGAGGTGGGGGTGAAGCTTTTATTGGGCAGTCTTGCACTTCCGGTGACATTGCAAAAGGGAGCACTCACATTGCTGCTTTTCTACGGGCTGTGGCATGTAGTTACGCTGCTTGGTTCCCTCTGACACCACCACCGTGACCTGGTTGTTCTGATGGGCCCTGTCCCCCTGAAGGACTGGGATGTTTCATCAGAGCAAACCCCACCTAACTCTCAGGAGTGCAGGTGAACATAGTGAGAGCCAGTTGGGTTTGCCTGTCCTGAGGGGGTAGAGCAGGTCTGTGGCGGGAGGGGCAGCTGCAGAGCACCATCTCAGGGAGTTTGTTTGTCATGTGTTGAACACATGAGATCCCACTGAGAGAAACAGGTTTGGACAATGACTTAGAGACTGCCAGCCATCCTAGCTGCCATCTACTCTCCTGCTAGGCAGGATTCCTCCCTGGGTGTGGGAACCTTGGCTGGAGGCCCACTCCCCTATCAACCTGGGAACAGGCAGCTACAAGACAGTGTTTACTAAAAACATGTTTACTAAAAACAATACGATGCCCGGGGCAATAAGTTCCTGATAAGGGCTCGCCCACGGGGACTAACCACCTCTTCCTGACCCCTCATCACCACCGCCTCTGGTGTCAGGGCATATAATATAACCATCCAGGGGGTAAGGAAGGGAGTAGAAGCTTTTCTTGAGGGAAGCCTTTCTTGGGAGGCTTTCTTGAGCCTTGTTGGGGCCTGCTTAAAGTTTTCTTTGCACCACTGACTGGTCTCTATGTCATCAATCCAGACACCCTCCGCACATTCTCGGATACAGGCGGCGCAGCGGGCGCGGCACCTGGGGACCAAACTGAACAGAACCCCAGTGTGTGTCTGGTAAATTTCAGGTGGGTTCCTGGAATCCCCCAAGGTAGATGGCTTCTTGGCACGTTGATGATTAACCCATCCTGTCTTCCTAGATGCCATGAGGATGAATCCTAGCATGAGCAACATTACCCAAGCCCTACCAAACGGCTTTCTTTATAGGAGGCCCTGGGCCTGACACAGAGCCCCGAGGATGCCCGGGCAGGCAGATCCCAGAGAGTCTGGGCTCACTGCAGGTGCTCCTGGCTCGGAGAGACACATATTCTAGGTTCTCTCCCCAGATTCCCAGGCGTCGACTGCCAGTGCCGAATCCCAGGAGCAAGCTAGGGTTTCCTCTCAGTCTCCCTGCCTGTGACTTATCTTGCGGGCAAGACCTGATGTCCTGTGCTTTTGTTATGTGGCGATATTTCTTTACGGTGGGTGGATGGTGACAGGAACTGTGATGAGGGTTGGATGGTGAAATGAGAGCAGAGTGACAACCTTTGGCATTCAAGGAACGTTTAGGGCACAGCCACAGGCTGCCCTGGTGTTTAAGCAGTCACTGCGGTCCCAAGGTGACATGGATAAGGATCACCAGAATGT